CCCCCCCTTAACGGGGACTTTAAAAAACACCTTCAGAAAAAGTACTTTGCTTCCTCGCTTCACTCTTTCTATTCTCTCTCACGTCTACCAATGGAAATGCCACTTGCAGCACTTACTTGACAAACTATCACCACTTATTGAAAACATTTGACATGATACGTTCCTTCACGAAACCGACGTTGTGTCCTTGGGAAAGGCAATTTACACGGTTTTCCTAATTGGCTCGGTCCTTTCGAAGATGAACGTTAAAATCGATGGTCCCGCCTCTTAAAAAATAACCTAATAGTGTTGACAGTTGCGTTAAACCTAAAACTTTTCCATTTCCATTTCGTTTGAATGCCTCCAATACAGAGACAGGTATGTATTTGAATTGTGAGCCAACGTGGTGAAATCAGGCGCTCGTCAAAATAAAGATATCAAAGATATCGGCATCTTTCATCCAGTTTGGCAATGTTTTTTCATTTTTTCATTTTTATTTCTATTTAAAAACATATTTCTGTGTAGATTTTAAACTGAAAACGTTGATTTAAAGCACAACAAATGTACATTTTTAGTTTCAAGCGACTCTCAAGCTTTGGAAATGAGCAAACTTTGGCGGCAATTTTCTTGCCGATTTTAGCTCTGAAACCCTGGGATGTCCACCTCCTTCAGTTGCAAATATCTCGACTTCTATTCGTATTATATTTATTGAAAGATAGCCGAATGAACCAGTTTTAAAATGATGCCAATAACTTCACATACCCAAAAATTGATGAGAGATTCATTCTATCGCGTCGTAACACACGTTATAATACATGGTTACTAGCTCAGGTTACAGTTTGTGGGACACATGAAAAGACATACAGGTCTTGACATCTAGCTCTCACTGGCAACATCGAGGGGGAACAATGCAGGGGTAGACCTAGAGCAACGTCTTTCTTGGGGAGCCTAAATAGACTGGTGACGAGGAAAGATCAGGATAAGGTAGTTTCTTTGAAGAGCGTCTGGCCAAGAAATGAATTAAGAACCATGACCGCTGATGTGTGTTACCCTTTCGGAACTTAATGATGATGACAATCTGAAGCGGCCAATTGTTTCGATGTAGTAAGTAGAGACTGGTCTAATTATTACACCACAGATAGCTGTCTTGTACTTTTAAACATCTTCGTCGACATATGTGCATGATCAATTCACTTCAGTGGAATCGCCACTCCAGCCTTTTCGCCACATATATCTTCTTATTTATTACTTTCGCCACTTTCCCCTAGTATTCCTTGTACCTCTAGCAGCTCTTCTAAACATGAGAAACCGTTCTGTGTCGGATGCGATACTGATTTCATCATTAGACACATACTAACAGAATGTCCAGACTTGGGAGAGACTCGAAGGAAATAATATTTTAAATGTAAAAAAAATGCAAGACCAGTTCTCCGTCGCTGATCCTAACAGAATTCTCATCTTTACAAAGGCCATTGGCCTTTACACAAAGAAGTAATATACTGTCATTTTAATGTAATGTAAACTGGTATCTTTAAGTTTAATCTTATCATTGACCAAAACCAAGCCGTGCTGTGAACTGTTGTAAATGCAACCAACTTGTGTTTCGCGCGCTCAATTCAAATGACCTTGTGCAGTTGTTTGTTTGTTTTTGTAGAGTGTTTTACGGCGCTCGCAACTGCATAAGGTCATATGAGCGCGCGGAACACACCTAATATTTTTCGGTTGGTAGGAAATTTTGAATTTTGCCCGGGTGGCGGCCGAAGCCTACTCTTATCAATTTTAGACCACCAAGGGATCTTTAACGTGCACAACTTGCACACGGGCCCTCCGAGATTTTTCGCCCTTGTCCGAGAAGGCTAGGTGTAGATCT